AAAGATTCAGCACACACAGATAAATAATATTTTTTTACAAAATCTTTTGGTTGTATGGGTTTATTTATAGGGAATAGAAGGGCTTTTGCTTATGACATTTAACATATCTTCATAATCAAATTATCTATATTGATCCCCGTATAATAACCTCAAAATTGAGTGATGGTGGGTTCATTGAATTTCTCTCGTCAAGAAGCTCGAGTCGAGTGTAAATATGTCAAATTGAAAATTCATGTGATCATTCGATTGATGCGCAAAAACGTCCAAATTATCTTCAATGATTTTATCCGGATTTGAAATCTAAAAATTTAATATAAAATATTTGTTGTCCAAAAAGCATATCAAAATATATGGTAGATGATGACAATATCTTGATGACTCATCAATCCGGACACAATTTCTTATGCGACTGAAAAATATCTTGTGGAGGAGCATACATATTTTAGATATTTCGTTTATGTTAATTATACTTTAAATAATGAATAAGTTGTGACCACCCTTGATTGATAAGTTTTTTCATATATTTTTTTTTAATTTTTTAAATTATATTTTGATGTTTATCTTATTGAGCAAATAATGCACAACTCTAATCATAACCAAAAGTTTGGTATTTACACTTTGCACCTTGGTTTCATCAACTTTTGCATAAACAAATGTTTTTTTTTTTTCAATTTAAAAGAGGCTAAGGTGACGTTTTTGATGTGATATTAAGAGTTTGTGTGATGTGCATACAAAAAATGAATATTTAGGTGTTATGATAAGAAAATATGTAAGAATAATGTGGTACGTAGGGTTGTCAAAAAAAGATTGTTGTTTACGAACAATTAGTGGTAGGCTAGATACGAAGCTGGTGTTCGATTCATTTGCTAAGCTAACGAGCCAAAAATGGATATTTTTTGTGCTCAATATATAAACGAGCCTAATATGAACAAAAAATTTTACGTTCGTGTATGGCTTATTTTAACTCGAAATAAATTACTTATATATATATGATTGATGAGTAGTATTTTTAAAAAAAAATTAATTGACTACAAAGCAACAAAGATTTGTAATCAATTTAAACTATTATATAAAAAATAGAATAAAAATATCTTAATTTAAATAATAAAATTTAAATCTAGCTCCGACCCTTAACATCTCATGGTTGCAAGACTAGGGTTGTTAAAACGGCTTTTTGTTCACGAATAGCTCGTGTTTAGCTCTCTATGGAAACGAACCGAATACAAACACACTTTTGATGTTCAAAATATAAACGAGTTGTACAAAAACAATGGTAATTTTTAATGAGTCCAACAAAGGCTGAGTCTGAGCTCACTAGTCTTCAGCTTGTTCACACCCTTAGTGGTATGTATGAAGATCCCAAAAAATTAAAGCATGGTGTTGCGCCTAAGGGTGTCATCAAAAAGCCAACAAAACTAATAGCTAAAATCATGAAGAGCAACTTCACATCAAGCTAAGGCTTCACAAACACGAGCTACTTGCAAACAATAAGTTGGTTTGACAATTCTAGTTCTAGAATGTTAAGGATATGAGGGATATTTAAATCTTATTATTTATATTAAAATATTCATTTAAATAAAATTTAATACATTTTTATTTTATTTGTAAATTTTTATTCTATTTTTTATTTAATAATTTGAATTGATTATAAATCTTTATAGTTTTGCAATCAATTAAATTATTTGAAAATAATAATAATCAATTTATATATATAATTAATTAATTAAATTATTTCGAGCCGAACTCAAGCGCACAAATTATTGTTTGTGCTTGGCTTCTTTTATTTATCGAGCCCAAAAATATTGTATCTTATGTTTGTTTGCTTAACAAATAAATCGAACATAAGCTAAATAATGAGCCAAAAAAGAGCTCTTCACTAATAATGAGTCATTTTGACAGCTTTAGGTGAAGCAAATAAGTATTAATTAATAGAGCATTCAGGAAAGAACTACCAGATCAGGTGGCTTCCCAGTTCCCACCAAGAACTGAAGCAGATGAAGGATTAATAAAGGCATCTGTTACAATTATCATAGATCTCATTGAGGAGCTCTTATTATGTGCAGACAGATGTGTGCGCTGTTCAATCAGAAAAAAAAAAAAAAGGATTAATAAAGGCATCTGTTACAATTATCATAGCTCTCATTGAGGAGCTCTTATTATGTGCAGACACATGTGTGCGCTGTTCAATCAGAAAAAAAAAAAATTAAATTGAGGCCATAAAAGAAGTGTTTTTATTGTGCGGTGAACGTACACAACAATTTTTCCTCATTGAGGCAGTTCTCATTGAGGCAGTTCAATTGAAATTTTTAAAAACAAAACAAGAAGAATTTACGTACATACCACCTAGTTCATATATATTTACACATCTAACACCTAAACTTTTGCTTTTTTACATTTATACCAACCAAACCTTTCATGTCACACCCAAAAACCATTTTAATTTTTTTTATAGTGAAATGCACCTTTTCATGCATAGGTAAGGTGGTATGCATTTGAAAATTTGAATTTTAGGTGTTAGATATGTAAATACATAGGAATTGAGTTGTACATATGTAAATCTTCCCTATTATAATGCTAACGCTACCTGGAAAAAGGGGGGCGTTTCTAATAATGATATTTCAGGGAATGGGAAATTCTCCAGTTGAATGGCTATAATTGTAATAAACAACTCTGTAAAAAAAAAAGAGAACAATTACATACTTAGCACCCAAAACATTGCTATTTACAAATCTAGCATCCCTCTTTCATCCATTGTTCAAATTCAAACTCATATTTTTCATTTTTATCAAATTCTCAATTATTTGATTGTGACATACATAAATACATCAGTCCAGCAGTTTAAAGTGCTAGATTTTATAAAAAGTAATATTTCAAGTGTTATGTATGTAATCATCCCGAAAAAAAAATCTGCAAAACTAGCCAACAAGATTGCAAATGCTAGCCAAATAAAAATTGGCACTAATCATCAAAATACAATATCTTTTTAAACAAAAGAATGCATCAAAAAGAACAAATAATAAAACTAAGTGGTACAACACTGAAAAATTTATCAAGCTTCTAATGAAATAGAGCTACCAGTGCGTGCAGACTTCAGTTTCTTCGTTGACGAAGACTTTTTCATTTTGTTCGACTTCCTTTTCTTCTTGGAAGAAATTTTTTGTTTCGCATCTGGAGAAACTGCCATGGATTCTTCATTCAAATCTCCATAGTGATCATTTGCCTGCTCAGTAAGCTCAGATGGAGTATGCTCTGAGGACAACACAGATGTTTCATTGGACTTCAGAGCACCATTCTCAGGTTCTATGACTGACATTTCATTTAAAATGTAATCCAACAAGTAACTGCTCCTCACAAGCCTATCAATTCTGCTGAAGTGCCTCTGTGAGTAAGGTATAATGCCTTCTAGAAGTTCACCGATTCCTTTTATCTGATATAAATAAGTAATTATAGAGTTTAAGAAAAGATGGTAAGAAAATACTATGTAAACTTTGCAACAAATTCAAAGCTGCATTGGTGACTTCAATATCTTAAAAAATCCAAGGCCGAAATAAAGTTGTGTATGAAATAAAGGGAAAAATATCTTAGATAATAAGCAATGACACGGATATAATTTCAGATGTTGGCACTTCAAAGATAGGATGTTGGGGAAATGCAAAATAATGTATTAAATTAGAGAAGATATTACTGTGATCGGCAAGTAGAATATCAAAACAGTGAAGGAAAGGCAGGGAGAGTCATTTATCTGTCTTCAAGTTTGGACAGGCATGGAAACCAAAAAAAAAAAAAATACCAAGAAAATGAAGAAAGTCAAACAATGGCTAACAAGGATTCTACCCCAAATCTAACTCATAGGGTGGCCACAATGGAAGAGCAAATGGCAGCTATGATGGAGTGGATGAGCATGTGAATAACCACAACTGCCACTAATCGACCAAGTTATATTCATCCTTCCATTGCAAATGCGAAACATGGTTGAAGTCTATGAAAATAAGGATGTGATTATAACTGATGAAAAGAAAGACAAAAGGACAATGTTCCAAAGCTTCCTCCCAACTTCCAAGTTTGTTTCAAGAAAGTTTAGTGATCATTGCAAAATACATACTCATACCAAAGAAAAATGTTAAACTCCTACATGAAAAATGAAAAGGAAAAGAATGAAACTGTTTGTGTAGTGGATAACAACTGCTTATTTCAATCAGCAAAGTATACCAGCCCCTAACACTAATAGCTGTGCGAAAGCATATATAGTTGTGGGGTTGTTTTCTAATTTGAACACGCAAGAAAATTTATTAGCTCTAAAAATCAAAGCCAAGCAAGAGGTTAGCAGAGTTATAATTGACATCGACAATCATAAGTACCTCATCTGGGATAGAAATTGGGGTTGAAATAATACCTTGAGAATTTGAGTTTTATATCTCAATCAAAAACAAGTGAATTCGCTGAAAAATCCTTCCTTATTTGGGACTTGAAAAGTGAAAAATGAAAAAATCAAAATTGATCCTACAAAGGTAAAGGCAATCAAGGAATGCCCGACACCACAAATAATGACTAATGTAAGGTTTCATGAAAGCCAAGCAATATGTTAGAATGTTAACATTGCACTTTTCAATACTTTATCTTCTTTACAAGCTTCGACTAGGGCCAATACCAAATTCAAATGGTGCTAAAAATAAGGTTGACATCTCTCTTTTAAAATAAGATAACCACGACCATTGGCATAGCCTTGCTAAACTTGCAAAAGATCATTCAAACTAAAGGCTGATTCCATAGATATGCAATAAATGTAGTACTAATGCAAAATAAGAGATCCATGCTTAGCACTCTAATATGCATCAACGAGAACAATCCTACCAATGGAAAAGCGACAAAACACCAGCATGTTTAGCTTATGGAGAATAAGACCACTGCAACCATATGACATTACTATTTGCAAACATAAGCTAACATGCAATATGCTCAGCATATGAAGTAAATGGCCTAACTCCAACAATCCAATATGGTCATCAAATTCAGAAAGAAGCTTTGCCAACAAAATGACCGGCATGCTCTTCCGTCTACCTATAATGCTTTCTTGTTTCTTCCACTATTATGCAGGTGGAATATTATGTGCAAAAAGATTTGCATGAGCAATACTAGAAGAATCCCTTCTCTAAATAGATATTGGAGGATTGGAGAGACCAACTCCTTAAGAGTATGCTCTAAAAAAATTACTTTGCCTACAGTTGAGGGCACCTACTAACCTAAAAACATGTAGGAGAGCTCTAAGAGGGCACCTTAAGAGTATGCTCTAAAAAAATATCGTGCATGAGAAATTCTGCCACATTCGACAGACGCTGAGGACTCAAACATTTAAGATAGCAAGACACTTTTGAGCATAAAAGAAAATAGAAAAGCTGCAAATGATATATTTATTGGCTAAGCATGCAACAAGATGTAAGTAAATAAAAGAAAGAATACTCTATAGAACCTACTAACCTACAAACAAGATGATGAAATTGTACTCACTGTTGCCAATAGTAAGCCATCTATCGAAAAGCATCTCATTGATCTTTTGGGAATATTGCCAAAAATAAGGTGGGTCGTGACCATTTTAATTGATCATAGGAAGATTTTTAAAAATGGATGATCTAATCCCTTGCAAAAAAAATGATCATTAACAAAAAAGCAGTAAAATTTTTTCAAGCGTGCATGGCATACTTTGAATTACCAATTCCATAGCGTTCTTTAGAGCTGATAATTGGAATCTGGAGGAACATCAGGGATATCAGGTGTTGAACAAAAATACACTGCATCTACTAAGAAGTAAGAAGCATCCCAATAGCAGGGATAACAAACTATCATACCTTCAATTATGCTTCAACAGTGTTATGTATTCCTCCACAGTGATGAAACCATTCTAAGTTTGGTTAGAGAAATCTATATAAATAAATTTTTGATCTTCACTTCTTTTCCCGATAATTGATCGTGGAAAGCTGACAAGAAATATAGCCCTAAGATTTCTATATGGCATCCATAAAATTTATATACCCGTGAAAGAACAAGTATAAGAGACCCAAGATAAATACAAAAAAAAAACATGATCGATCATCATGATGTTAAGGAGGGTTTCCAAATAAAACAAAATGTCTTGTTACACTCGAGAAAAAATCACCTCAAAAGTGAAGGAAAAATGTTTGAGGCATCAGGTATGGGCCTTCTAAAATTCTCAAGAAACTTGGGAGACGATGTTTACCGATTGGAAATAATATCATACATGAATATATATTCAGATATAGAGATGGGCCTTCTAAAATTCTCAAGAAACTTGGGAGACAATGTTTACCGATTGGAAATAACATCATACATGAATATATATTTTGATGAGCTTTTAAACTTTCATGCTTGATGGAAAATCAGAAGAAATATTACTTCTTATGGATGATTTACTCGTGGAGAAGGAAGTATCTTTAGAACTTGATATTCTCCTGGAGCAGAGAACTACCGCCACGAGGCATATAGACCAAAAGAGATATTGGCAGGAAAGTTTATTGAGCAAGAAAAAGTAAATAGCATGCCAAGATAGTTTGGCAGAGTCTTCCTCCATCTTGAATTTTAATTTCAAGAAAGTGAATTTATTTCAAATCATAAAAGTATAGTCAATCTGACCATTCACTTCAAATAAAGCTAAACAAGAAAGCATCCCTAACAATTCGGGCTTCAAATTGTGAAGGGATCAAGAAACTGAACCAAATAATTCCAAACGGTTTTCTTTCTCGATAAAAATTAGCGACTGATGACAATGGTGATTCTCATATCAAATAGTAAGATTGAAGATAATTTCCCAAGAATTCATAGGTGAGATCAAAAGTCCATAGGACATCATATGAGGAAGATCAATAACCAGAGAGCTAGACCATTGAATTTAAATTAAAATTCAAATTATAGCAAAATAAAAATAATTATGCATTCAAAAACTAGATCAAATAAGATTGTATTTAAAATTTATGTTCAGAATTTAATTTACATTGAAGTCTTTTATTTATAATTTATTAATAGGGATCCCGCTTTTTGTGGAATTTGTTTTGGAGTAAATGGAATCTTATCCCCGCTATACTATCCAGAGTGCCTGAATTCTGTGGTAAATTGAATTTGAATTATTGCAATTCTTTCGGGTTTCTTCTTCTCCCTCTGCTACCATTCCTATAGCAAGAAAATTAAAGATTATTCCTTCAGCCTCGGTTTTTCTGGGCACAGTAGCCTGGTGCGGCTAGTACCAAGAAACTGTAAGTGGGTATTACTGTGAAGTAGTCAAACCCAAGAAACCAATGAAAATTGGCTTTCACTTGCTGCGTCTGCTCTCTGTTTTTGCAAGCAGCTGAATCCTGCTGCTGCTGCGCTTGCTCTCAGCTTGCTGCCGTTGCTCTTCCCTACTGGTACTGAGATCTGCCAAAGTAAAATCCTGGAATGCTAAGGTTCTCATTGCTGCATTCCATTGTACAGGAAATAGCCATTTATGGCTGTCCAGAGAGAGGGGAAGGCAGGAAGCAAAAAAAACAGAGGATAATATTGAAAAGCGCCAAATCTCACTAGGAAGGAATTTATTTCCTTAGGAATATATTTCACTAATTATATTTTCTTTATTAGATGTTTCCTTCTTTCTCTTATTTTGGAGGGATTCCTAATTGATTTCTTTTCATTATTTTATATATGTAGTCAGTTGTAATGCATGGAAAAAGCTGGAAATAAAACTCTTTCCAAAATTAAGAAATGGTATCAGAGCTAAGAAATCTTTCATACACATTCCAGGTTTCCGTCTCCTTCGTCCTCTGAAAGCTTTGAAGTGGAAGAAGTGTTGGAGCGACCTCTAAGTCTCAAACAATCTAGACCTCAACCAAAAGTGAGGTCAACAGTCTCAAACACAGCTTCTTCTTCACCGATGAAAACAACAAACCTGTATGAATTCTAGAACGCGGTCTTTGATGCGCATGCATGGGAACTAGGGTAGTTGTTTCATCCCTTGTGTGCGCAGAAAATCGCAATGCTTCGTCGTTCGGCTATTTCACTCAATCAGAGAGTTTTGTCATTCCTCTCTTCCGCTCGACCAGATCACAGTCCCCTTTCAAGTGGTTCCAACAGATTAGATCATAAAAGTTCTTTCGACCAAATCGCAATCTCTGTAGAGCAGTTCTAGCAAATGGAATAGCAGAACTGTCAAATAGAACTATTCCACGTACCGCCGGATCACAGTCCTCTTGGATCCGCTAAAGTAGAGGTTTATACTGCTCCTAAGATCGATTAGGCTTGCAAACTCAAGGAAACTGAGAGTAGCACACCTCCCTCTCTAGTTCCTATTCACTTGCCCATCAGAGCAGTTGAACTAAGGGTCCTCCTTGCTCTAGTTCATATTTGCTTGTCCAATCGAGCTATCAAACAAATGGAACTCCTCTG